GGGAGACATCCACATGTTCATTGACCATACATGGGAGACATCCACATGTTCAATGGTCATTCATGGGAGACATCCACATGTGCTAAATGTTAACTAAATTAGTCCTTTCCCTGCCCCTCATGCTACCTTACAACCAAAAAAGCTGGAGCTCAGGACCGCTTACCCATGATTCCATTACTAGTGCTTCCATGGCTGGTCTGACCGACTACCTCTAGAAGTCAATTAATGTAACCTTAAATTGTTTTGTTTTGTTTGGGGGGGCAGCTTTTTGGAGTACCAAATATGTTCTCGACATTTCATATTCAGTTTACTTTCAAGTTAGACTAGTACTTAAAAGCATCTCTAGTTCGTCTTGTTCATTTTTATTCCTCCTAATCTGATTAGGAGGGTGTGTGACAGCTATCAACCCAGCCCCTGGCTAGATATTTTGAATGTTAATCACATCCTCCTGTCAATTACTCACCATTCCTTTAAATCCTCTGAAAATACATTAAACATGTCTCCATCCCAATGTAATAAATCAGGATGGGAACAAGTAGTGTGTGTGTGTGTGTGTGTGTGTGTGTGTGTGTGTGTGTGTGTGTGTGTGTACACACCATTAGAGACTTCTGTCCAGGTTGACATTATCCCAATACCAGAGATTCTCTAGGTATGATTATTCAACTAGCTAACAAATCCATTCTTTTTCTCCATCCGATTAATTATTTAATCTTGTTTACAAAGGTATCTTGAAAAATCTAATCAAGATTTAGGAGAACATGTGTGGTCTGATGAATTGAATCGGAGAACTTGAGTTCAAATACTCTGCTAAGTCATTCAGTGTCCAAGTTTAGTTTCCAAGCTATAAGAAGAGGCCAGTGTTACCACCCATACTCTTCCTCCCTCTGCCATGCCCCAAGGTGCTTCCATTACTGCGTAACACACAGAAGACCATTACCTATCCCTGTGGCCAACATTCAGCAAGGCAGATGGCCCCCAGACATCTGCTAAACTGGACTGGACCCCAGCTCTCGTGATAAAGCATTATCAAATGTTGGGAGCAGAGTTGCTCAGTGGTTAGGACCACATGCCCCTCTTGCAAAGGACCCGTTTGGTTCCCAGCACTCACATCAAACAGTTTACTGTTGCCTGTAACTCCAGCTCCAGGGGACCCAGCACCCTCCTCTGGACCCTGTGAGTACCTGCTCTTGTGTACACATGCCCACACACAACCACACACATACACGGTTTAAAAGTAATAGCATCTTTTCTAAAAAGCCTTAACACACGCGAACAGCTATTACAACAAGAAGAGGGAGTGTGGCTCTTGGTGATGTTTCCACTGTGTTCACTGAGGACAACGTGAAGGAGAATTCCAGGACTGTGGCCAGGTGGGAATGCTGCAGGTCCAGCAGTTCCTCTAGGGCGAACTGTAGCCTAACGAGGGATTCCTTCTCATTTCGGACATTCTGATAAACAAGTTGGAATATATTAGCAAAATCTGTTCTTCATCAACCAAAGGGCTACATGCTGTCGCACAGCATCTGAGGCCCTGAACTCACTGTAACCTGCCTGTTTCCACAAGTGTATTTTTTAGGCCTTGATTTATACCTTTCTTTCTTCTGTTACTATAAAAACCCCATTGAACTGCCTCCACGTTGGAACATGGTGGGACCTAGGATAACCTAAATCTGTGTTCTCAGACCATGGTCCCTCAAATTTAACTCCAAATAAATTCTTCTTCCTTCTGAGGTGAGAGCTGTGATTCTGCATCATCGACAGCAATAAACTAATCAACTTTTCCAGATCTTTACTCAAGACTGAGGAAGCCTGCTGACCAGCAACAGTGTCACATCCGCTCTCGGGGCTGGAGAAATGGCTCAGAGGTTAAGAGCGCTCACCTCTTGCAGAGGACCCAAGTTCGGTTCCCAGTACTCACAACAGGCGGCTCACAACCTCCCGTAACTCCAGCCCCAGGAGATCTGATGCCCGCTTCTGACCCCGGCATGTACACGCACATACATAATGCAGACTCGCACGTACATACATGCCGACTCGCACATAAAAATGAATCTAAAACCAAATAAATCCATCTACGCCTGTGCCAGCTCTGAGAAGTCCGGGCCGCCTCTGTCCAGTTTGAGATTCCTATTCTTCATAGCTTATCCCAGATCAGCAAGAGTCATTCTTCAGCTGATTTACAAATTCAAAGTTTTTAGTCCAGGAATTTCTAACTCATTTAACACTCTCCTGTCACTACCAGTTTGAGCCACAGCCTGGCCTTAATGGTTGTTATGCCCCTTCCAGGCTGAAGGACAAAGGACTCAGCTCCTAGTCAGAGGGCGTGAGTGAAGGAGCCCCGCCCTAGTGCATGAATATGTGCGTGAATATACATCCTTATATGGAATACATGCATTCCAGAAATTACTTACCAGTCCATAGATGCTGTCCGCCTCTTTGTCCACCACCAGCAGTGTGGTCTGCTCTCCGCCCTCCTTGATCATTTCCACTACACTGTCGTGATCGAGGCCTTCCACGGACACGCCATTGACAGCGACCACCAAGTCGTTGTTCTTCAAGCCAGCTGCCTCGGCTGGACTTCCAGGTTCTATGTCCTTGGTGATCTGACCTACCCTCCCCACACAAAGCAAAGTCACCAGGAAAGCCCCCGAGCAAATACGAGCTGGGGTCTCTGCTGGATCCCTGGGCCTGAAGAAATCGGTATCAAGGCATGCTGAATCCTACTCCCCCAGTCTCTCTGCACCCCAGGGCCCCTACAGATCTACTCTCTAGCCTGTTCCTGGAGCAAACCCAGCCTCAAACCATGAGAGGGTCTTAAAAGACTGGGAACCTGGTGTTTACTAAAAGCGTCTGATGGTTACTTTCGACAAAGTGGCGGGCTAAGAAGTTCCTAGGAAGTCCGTGGGCATCCTTGCAGCCACAAATCGTACCCAGCAGGTAAGCCACAGAAGGGAAAGGGGCCAGCACCAGGGAAGTGGAAGCCGGAGGGCCCCAAGTTCAAGGTCAGTCTGTACACGGGGAGACCCTGAGGCAAGAGGCAGGAAGGGGTGCAGAGCACAAAGCCTCCCAGCCTTCGAAGCCAGGCTGGCACTGCCCTATTTGGGGGTCCCCACCTGTGCCCCAACAAGCAAAGTTCAGCCACTAGTCCTCCATAAGCTGATCCAAACTAATAGCAGGAAGGCGAGAATTACTCAAGATAGCCACCTTGGTAAGGGCAAAGGGATCTAGTGACCCCTTCAAGTCTATCTTCAGGGTTTTGAAGTGAGGTTAAGGCTCCACGCACCACCAGCCCATCCTGCCCTCTTCCGAAAGGAGGTCTGATAAGTTGTGAGTCCCTTCTGGATGCCTGCCCCCTTTCCCCACCAAATATTTAGGCTTTCTCTTTTCCCAGCATGAGATTCCTGAGGAAATTTCCAGAGGCTTGCAATGTGCTCAACCTTGTGTTCAAGGCCATTACGTTGGCAACATAAAGTCAGGAAAAGTTGGGGTATTCACATCACAGAAATCAGCAAATGCTCCAAATTCAGATTTCTTTCAGAGAGCCGAGTTAGTCCCGCCGCCTGTCTATCCAGACCCTAAATTCTGCCTGACCACTCCGTTGTGGAAACTGAGACTCCAGCATCAGGCCGCCCAGGGCAATGTGAGCCGCTCTGCCTCCTACTCCCCCAGAGTTCCCTGGCGGGGCTGGAGCTTGGTGAGCCTGCACCATGGATGAGGGACTCGAGGTCTGCAGGCTGGTGCCTCACCTTTCTGTCCAGAGCCTGCCCTCAGGTAGAACCCGTAGCCATTGCTTCCCTTCCTGATCTCCACCACCCGGGGCTGGTGGGGCAGCAGTTTCAGACTGGCCGTTTCCCTCTTGAACTGTGTCTTCTGTTCATCATGGCGCTTGGCAGTCTCCTTGTCCACAAGGAGGAACACGATACGGCTCCCCGCCTTCTTCACCTGCAGCAAGACACACAGATGAGGGCCGGGGGCCTCCACAGAGGACCCTGGGAGGAAGGCTGCCATGCGGCGCAGGCGCAGAAGGCTCGGGTCCGGGGCCTGAGCATGAGCTCTTGCATGCTTCCCCCGGCCTGACTGGTATTTATCCAGCTACTTTGAGGGAAAACAGCCAACCACACAGATGTTAACTGAACTCAAGTGGGAGCCCAAATTCTTAAAGAGCAGAAAGATGTGCGGATGAGAAGGGCCGAATGGGATTTTAGAAAAGAGAGTAAGGGTCAACTTTGGGAGACCATTCTACAGGACAAGAGGTCGGTCGGTGTCCAAGGCTCCATCTGACCCCAACAAGAGAGCCTTTTTACGGTGTCAGCATGCTGGGGGGCCTTCCAACATCCGGCAGGAATGGTTTGTTACCCATGGCCGTCCGGAGTGTGGAAATACTAAATGGACTTGAGGCGTTACCTATAAACTTAATGCTGTATTCTGTTTTGAGTAGTGATGAAATCCATCCCTTGCCGCCCACACCTCCATCCAGAAGGTATCTAGCGTCCTCATCCTTGTGCCCGACACCTGTCAGTCACTGAACGCAGCAGCCACCCGCAGACGGCAAGCAGTAATAAGCCCCGTCTGTGCGCTCTCCTCCTCCCACACACGCCTACAGTAGTTTAATTTACAAGTCGGACACAGTGACTAACAAATAATCAATTACAACAGTGTATTGTAGGAACAGTTGTTTAAACTTATGAACTATCTGTTTCTTCTGGAAGTTTCCATTGCTTTCAGATGGGGTTGACTACAAGTAAACGTGGAAATGGAAACTGAAAGGGGGAGGGGCCGGAGCCCTGTTAGCCCCGCCCATGCCACCAGTGACTGTGCGCTCTCGATACAAACACCTAGAAGATGCTCTCCCGTCACACGCTCATCCAGGCAGGCAGGCGCTGCCACCCACCTCCATCACTTCCGACGGAGTGGACGGGAGGAGAGGGGAGAAAAGCGCCCTTTGAGGATTACCTTCGCCACCACTTCCTCGTGATTGGCGTTCTCTACGTTTTCTCCGTTCACTTCAACCAAGAGATCGTCGGCCAGGACCCCAGCCCTCATGGC